TCTCCATTTATTTTTAGTAGTTTTAATATAATTTTTTTAATTTTTCATACATAAATTTTAGATGAAAATTTAACATATTATATAAATTATAATTAAATTTTTTTGATAATATAAAAATATTTAACAAAAACTTCATATAAAAATTTTTTAATTATTATTCATATAAATTATTAAATTTTTATTTAAAATTTATATTTAAAAAATTAAATTAAAATGCACCTCACTCGTTGGATCAAGTGACTCTTACTACTTTATTAAGATGCAGTTCTTTTTTCTCTTTTTGGGATTGGATTCAAATTCCTATGATATTTTGTTAAAAAAAAGTAAATAAATATTATAAAAATATATAATTAATATATCTTAAATATACAAATTAAAAAACCCTATAAAAGAATTTTCCTCTAGTTAAATATTCCTGTTGCGCGCCCCAAGTTGTCTAATATATCACCAACAACATTAAATTAAAAAAGAGGCTACCTTGCATACATTGAAAGTAACTAGAATTCTAGCGACAACCAATTTCGTAGTTGGGATTTGCGTACATTTTTTCTTTAATTTGTTTTTCTTAGTAACGGGTCCCCTTAGGTCATTGTATTTTCCCGGAACAAACAAAATGATTCCTTCAGCAGTTCAGTGGGGACAACAAGACAAGATAAAGAGACCCGGGGCCGACACCCCCTATGGCAAAAATTTAACGAAAAAGTGTTTTACCCTTTAAATTAATTTAAATTATAAAAAAATTAATTGTTTGATGAAATTGAATCTCTTAGTATTTTTTTTAATATTCATTATATAATAAGAAATAATTTTTTTATTTTTTATCTCATTTTTCATTCATATGTTATACGATTTGAACTCAAATTTTTTACTTTCAACAAAAAAAATTATCATTAAATTATTTAAATTATTGACAATCTCTTAGTATTAATTTTTTTATTAAATAACTTTTATTTTATAATTTAAATCATATTGCAAAATAAGACTATCAAAATTCAAATAGATGGGGTTTTTAACTTCCAATTAAAGTCATTTTGATTCTTTAATTATTATTTTTACAATTTTTCATTCTTATGTTATCTAATTACATATCATTTTATTTATTCAAAAGAACAAGTTAGAAAAATCCTTTCTTTATTAAACAAAGTTTACTTTTTAGTGATGATGAGAAAACCAAGGGCTATGAAAGATTAGAAAAGGAAAAAAAAAAAAACTTTTTTATATTAAGGTTTTTTCTCAAAACACATGTTTTTTTTGGTTTCCCATCCGGTATCCGGGGCTTCGCCCCGACTACTCCGGATTCGACCAGCTGTGGCGCACCAGAATGGTGGGTGGGTCTCCCAACAAAGGCTACTGCGTACACAAGGTTTCGAACTCGAGACCTTGCTTAAGCTGGAACAAGCCGCTTGCCACTTGATCCAACCATTCGTTGGTTTCTCAAAACACATGTTAACGGTATATTGATGAATCGAAAGTTCTTTTTAATCATTCATCATTCATAGTTGTTTATTGACAATTAAAAAAACTTATAAAGCAAATTAAGCCACTACAATGAAATATCTTAAGACTTCTAAACCTAATATCTGTAAGTGCTTCAAACACATGGTGAAAGATGGTCCGGTGCTTTCATGGAAGTTTAATGGTACCCTCAAGGCTTAATTAAGCTCAAAAAAAATTGTTGGGTCATTAGAGGTTGGCGAGAAAGAACACTTTATAGTTTATTCTATTACCCCCAAAACAACATATACGGGTCGAAATCTGAAACATTTCAAAATATTTGGCTGGCCCATCTACAAAGAACAAACATGGAATTAGACCCAATGCTCTCTGGATGCTTTGTTGGGCTTCTGGCCCCTTTTTTCATTTTTTATCAAGCTTTAGCAAATGTACGTAACGCAGACATTAGTTAACAATACTAGAATCGCTTGTAGTTAGTTAGTTATCAGTTACCACTTCACCACGTAAAGATCTGACAATAATTTTCTAAATTTTTTTTTTTGGAAGTAATGAGCAAAATTTCTATTAATGCACACTTGTTTAGTGGATAATTTAATATGATAGAAAAATAATGTGCAATTCATTTTATATTTATTACATATTTTATAATTATTAATAAAAAATAAATCTCTTAAATTCTGATATTAATTAATCTACTATATGAAATAGTTATAAAATATGAACCATCTATCTCTTTGTAGAATTACTTTTCAAACTTATTTTGTAAAACAGGAGGAAAGAAATGAAATGTAAATCTCGTCACTTAAGAAAGCTACAACTGCAAATTGCTGCTCCTCTCATTTAATCCAACACGATATATATATATATATATATATATTACTAAATATAAATATTTCTCGCCCTTTTCTTAGGTAGACCACACTGTCCCGTCAAATCCAAGAAAGAAAAAAGGGAAATTGAAATAGTGACAGTCACCCCAATTGTAGCCACAAGGGCAGGATTAGGAATCGTCGTCTTCATTTGTTTATCATCTGCAGCAAGTCTTTTTTTTTTTTTTTTACTTCCATTTTTGAAAATAATATAAAGCAGATTGGAGGTGTAACTTTTTTAAGAGAGAGAGAGAGAGTGAGTGTGACACTGCTAAGGACGTATCAAGGACCAACCACACCCTTAATTAATCAATAAATGGTATATCTCATTAGATGCGAAGGAATCAATCAAATTTCTTTTCGTCTCTTTCTCTTTGATTTGGTGAATTGGTGGGGTACGCAGAAATTGTCACTTCAATTCAATGTACTTGGAAGAGTAAACAAAGGGCATCTTTTTTCAAAGAAAGGATATGCAAAGAAGACTAAATTGATGTTTAAAATTACTGTAAAATATTGTATTTATAATTTTTTAATATTATATTATATAAAATGTAAATATTTAATAATTATTTATTAAAAATTTATATATTAATGTAAATAATATAAAATATTAATTAAAATTAATTTAATTATAATAAATTAATATCTTTATGTGATGTTCTCTGTGTGAAAGAAAACATTGTATGACACAGTATTCTAATTTTTAAAGAATATATTTCTTTTTATTACGGCACCAAAATACATAGACAGACACATGCCAGCAAAATTTTTAAAAAACAAAAAACATGAACTTTTAATTAATTGGCTGAACAGGGTAGGACTGGGTGAGATTTCTGGT